TTTTTTTGCGTAACTTGTCAGTGAACTACGGCTCTGTGTAGTAAATGCTGCTCCATCTGAAATGATCTGAAAGCACGTGATGGAGATTTACTGCTGATTACAGAACCGGCTTTACTGACAAAATGCGCATGACAATTGCATTCGATTAATCGTGCAGCCCTACCAAATACCCTATCAACCCCATAGCAACACCCTAGCAATGACCTAGAACACCTGGACAACTGATACCAACCATACAGAACACCCTCGCAACCACATAGTAACATCCTAGCAACCACATAGCAACACCCTAGTAGCAACCACCCAGAATACTTTAGTAACTGCATAGCAAGGCCCTAGCAACCACCAGAACACCTTAGCAACCACCCAGAACACCTGGACAACTGCATATCAACCACACAGAACACCCTCACAACCACATAGTAACATCATAGTAACCACATAGCAACACCCTAGTAGCAACCACTCAGAATACTCTAGTAACTGCATAACAATGCCCTAGCAACTACCAAAACAACCTAGCAACAACACAGAACACCTGGACAACTGCATACCAACCATACAGAACACCCTCACAACCGCATAGTAACCACATAGCAACACCCTAGTAGCAACCACCCAGAATACTTTAGTAACTGCATAGCAAGGCCCTAGCTACTACCAGAACACCTTAGCAACCACCCAGAACACCTGGACAACTGCATACCAACCATACAGAACACCCTCGCAACCGCATAGTAACATCCTAGCAACCACATAGCAACACCCTAGTAGCAACCACCCAGAATACTCTAGTAACTGCATAGCAATGCCCTAGCAACCACCAGAACACCTTAGCAACCACCCAGAACACCTGGACAACTGCATACCAACCATACAGAACACCCTCGCAACCGCATAGTAACATCCTAGCAACCACATAGCAACACCCTAGTAGCAACCACCCAGAATACTCTAGTAACTGCATAGCAATGCCCTAGCAACCACCAGAACACCTTAGCAACCACCCAGAACACCTGGACAACTGCATGCTACCATTTATAAGAACACCCTCACAACCACATAGTAACATCCTAGCAACCACATAGCAACCCTAATAGCAGCCACCAAACTGCATAGCAATGCCCTAGCAACCACCAGAACACCCTAGCAATGGCCAAGAACACCTGGACAACTATGTACCAACCATACAGAATATTTACATTTGGACATTTAGCAGATGCTTTTATCCAAAGCGACTTACAAATGAGGACAATGGAAGCAATCAAAATCAACAAAAGAGCAATGATATGCAAGTGCTATAACAAGTCTCAGTTAGCTTAATGCAGTACACGTAGCAAGTTTTTTTTTTTAATCATATAATAAAAAGAAAACAGATAGAATAGAGCAAGCTAGTGTTAGAGGCCTTTTTTGCTTTTGTTAATTGTATAATAAATAAAAAGAAAACAAATAGAATACAAAAAGATCAGAGAAGCTAGTGTTATTTATTTATTTATTTTTTAAAGAAAACAAGCAGTTAGTAAATAAATAGAGTGCAAGTCTAAAAGGGGCAAGTTTTTTTTAATAAAGAATAGAATTAGAATAGAGAGTGCTAGAGTTAGAGGGTCAAATAAAGATGGAAGAGATGTGTTTTTAGCCGATTCTTGAAGAT